CTTTCCTTCCACTAGTGTCATTGAGGTAGAGAGCCTCAAACTCACACACATCCGATGTCAAATTACCTGCACCAAACGTGATTAAGGAAGAGAGCCCTTGTGTTAATAACGTATGGTGTAGCAAAATCTACGCCCTACCCATTTAAAGTAGAGAGTCTTTGTTTAACTCACGACCGACATCACAACATTGTCATATAAGCAAATAGCTTTTTATCTTTATCAAGCCTACACCCACTCAATTGGGCCCTAGTGTTACCAAGTCAGAAAGTTTGAAGGGCATTTGCGTCCAATGCCATTCAATCCACGTCCAACATGACTAAGTCAAAAAACTTTCCTCTAACTCACGCCTAATACTACTAATCTTGCATTTGACTTTAGTTAGGTAAAGAGTCTTTGACCTGTATCACGCCCAACGCCTTAAAATTGTATCCAACGCGATGATGAATTTTGCACTTAGAAGAACCACAAATTTTCTCAATACACCTGAAATTCAAAACATTTCCAACATGCATCTCATGAAAACAACTATATATTTCATAATCACTTCAATTATGATCAGGGACACAACATGCAACCAACAATTGACTAGAATAATCAATTACACCTCCATATGCTTTAAGAACAATAAAATCCAAAACTCAACTAATTTCAACAACATAATTCAGCAATTCAATAATAATTCAAGTTGAACTCAACTAGAACAACACAAAATCAACAAGTTTCAAGATCCCTTTACCTCTAAATCCAAGAGAAAGGAAGGAGAAGAAAGATGGTCAAGACTCTTGCCAAGAACTCCATACAAAGCCACCCTAAGGTCTCCAATTCTCAACTCCAAATATTTGAATCTCAACTACAGTTACGACAATCACTTTGAGAAGGGTTTTTACACTCACTAGAAGGCTAAGAAGAAGAAAGAAGGATTTCAGGCTCCATAATTGCTTTCTTTAACTTCTTTCTAAATTTTCTTAAGAATTGAACTAATAAAATTCACTTCTAAAAAAATATCTTATATACTTATCTAGGACTAGTCAATCTGACTTATGCTAAGAATGATCTCTTAAATAACAAAATCTCATTAAAAATTTTAATTTTTTAGAGCTTCACAATAATTAATAAAGTAATCACAATCACATTTAAATTAATAAAATCAATAATTATTAATAAAAACATACAATGTTATAATATCAACAATTTTTTTTTAATTTTCAATAACTTTAAATCACATATGTGATACCAAGCAACTTTATAATTCATGAATATATTACTTTTTTTAATAACTTTTTTTAGAAACAATTTAAAAGTTATATCATATACGTAATATTTTTAATGCATATAATAAATCATCGATATACTAAAATATCATATATTATTTCTCTCGTCGATAATTAAAGTTATTTTACTCGCATTCACTTTTCAAGAACTAAATCTTTACGAAAAAAAAATAACCATATAATTTGATTAAATACGCTATATAAAGATATAATTTTTTCTTCTTCTATAAATTGCATATATTCCTCTAGAAACAATTTAGTTGGAACGAATCAAGATTAATGACATAATACTGAATTCCTGGGTATTATCGACTTGATAGAAATAAGAGAAAGATTTAGGGAAAGTAGCAGTTAAAGTTGTTTGACACTGCAATGAGAATGAAAGAGTAAGTTAATGAGATTTGAGAAACTTGATTGGGTCCATCATCCATGCCCAACTGAATTATTTTGTGTAGGTTCCAATTTATATGTTACATGTAGATCAATATTCATTCACGCCGACATATGATTAAGCCCGTGACTCATCCTGTTTACACCATCCATTTTCTGCACTTTGGTTGGACCACCTACACAAACCAACTCTCTATATTTTAGATATGTATATTTTATACACTACAATCAAATATTCTATACTATTACTACTATTCAATTGATCCCCGTTAGTATATATATATATATTGAATTAAATTATTAAATTAAATATTGCACATATATATTAAAAAGAAAATTATCCATCAAGAAATTCAACATATTGCAATACGTCAAATAGTAATATGTTACATCATTACATTAGTATAATTCATAATTTGGAATGGACCAATAGCTCCTTGTGTGTGTACTAATATTTTAATTCCTGTTAGATAAATGTGTTATTATTAGAGACGGGTTCTGCAATTATAATCCTTGAATTATATAAAGAAAATCTTTGTTATTAAATCATAATTAAATACTCAAGAAAAATTTAAGTTCTAATCAATGAGCTATGAATATTTAGATAGGAACGTGTAGAGTCAGTGGTGTCTTTAATTCTTTTGGGTTTAGGCGAATTACTAAATATGAATTCTTATTTATTTTTTTAATAATCATGCTATTGTTACGATTGGCTTAGTTTATATTTAATTTTAATCAAAAAGTTTGACTTACTATATTAATACTTTATCCAAGAACATCAAGACTAATATTATTTAAATAAAAGACTTGTCAGTATATGAATATTTTAAAATATATAAATATTTATACATAAAAATAATATATATTTTAATTAAAAATAACATGTTTTATTATATTAAATAAATAATATAATGTTAATAAATCTAAAAAAATTAACTCTCCATAAATTAAACACGAACCACTATCTTGTATTAAAGTATTTTTAAGAATCTTTTTTTCAATAAAAAAAGTTTGTAGAAATTTTTTAACTTCTTATCTAATTTGATTTTTTTATTTATTTTAATTATTTATGAATTAAATACTAATATTTTAATATAAATTATCAATAAAAACTGCTACAATTTAAATTATTTATCATAAATATAAAATATAATTTTATATATTTAAAAATATGTATTTATATAAATTTTAAATATAATCTTTATTTTAAACATAATATTTATTTATAAAAAATTATAAATTTTAATATATGTAATAAACATACATGTATATCATATAGATTAAAATACAAATATATTATATTTCATCCAAAAAAATTTAATCTCTCTCGATCATGATCTCAAGATGACCACACCTCTCGATCACCCTGTGTTTACACATATACTTTTTTTTGGTAAGGATAAGAAAGATTACAAAAATGATTACAATGAAGATTGAACCTAGGTCTTCATGCTTCTAACTACTCCAATCACTGGACTAACCCTAACAATTATTTACTAATATACTTTTTTTATATAAGGATAGGAAAAATTACAAAGATAATCACAATAAAGATTTAAACTAGGTCCTTATTTAAGGACCCCAACCCCTTCCCACTCAAGCTAACCCCGACAATTGATTACTAATATACTTAATCTATCACAAGTAATAAAAATTGGAAGAAAAAAAAAACTTTTAATATTAAATTAAAAATTATTACCATAAGTGTTTCAACATATAATGAAAGGAGTAGCTTTTTGTATTAAAATTTGAATACGAAGTTTTTATTTATATAAATTCTATTAGATATGATTTGGTTGATAAATTGAGTTATATGTCTTTTTTCATTTTTATCATTTTATAAAATTAAATTTAAATATATTTTTAATCATTATAAATGAACGAGATTTAATTTTAATTTTTATAAATATTTTTTTATCATCTAAATTTTGTGGTCATCATTTTTAAGTTTATATAAAATGAATGAACTTTTTATTTTAATTTATATAAATTATTCTTTTAATTTTTAAAAATTAAAAAATATTATTTTTGGGCTTAATTACATTTTATATTCTCAAACTTTTGTATCGGTGTAAATTTTTCCTCCAATTTTTTTTCCGCAAATTTTGTCTACAAGTTTTGAAGAAGTTGTTAATTATGTCTCTCTATCAATATTCCGTTGTAAAATAAATAAAATGCTAACTTAAATGCATTAGGGATAAAAAAAAAATCTTAATGCATTTAGAGCCTCCAAATTTTTTGAATCAAAATTTTGCCCTCAAATAATTTATTTGCAAATTTTACTCCCAAAATTTGAAAATATTAGGAATTATTTTCTATCAAACTGTACTTAACATATTGTAAACTATCAGAATGTATTTAACATATTGTAAACGACAATTTTTAATTTATATTAATATTCATGTGAAATAACTCGAAGATATTAGATAATGAAGTATATTACATATATTGATATATACACAACATATAAATACACTATTACATCTGATATAAATATGATATAAATTTATACCATTGTATAATGATGATATTTATTTTGATAACTGTTTTTATTTTTACTTTTACATGAACAGTTTTGTCCTTATGTATAATTCTGCAACTCTCTTTTCTTTCTTTTTTTTTTTTTTTTAATCTTAAAACTCTAACATAAATAACTACTCATAAAAATAGTAATTATTTTCTCTCTCTCTTTACTGTATGAGTTATCTTTTATGAATATTAATACAAATTAAAAAATAGATGTTTATAATTATATTAAGTATAATTTGATAAAGAGTTATCGGTGACAATATTATCACAATTTGGGATATAAAACTTGCCAAAATATTATTCAGGGACAAAATTTTTGTCAAAGAGATAGTTTGATGATACAAAATATAATTAAACATAATGTTATGTTAGTAATTTGATGGACGAACATAATTTGTAATATTTTCAAATTTTGGAAGTATAAAATGCAATTAACTCTTATTTTAACTAAACATTCATTAAATAATATTTATTTAAAAAATAAAAAATAAAAAGCGTGACACATTAATACAGTACTATATAGTATATACGCTTCAGCTTGGATGATGACTCCACTGGATTATTTTGTATTTGTTTGTGGTTGATCCACAATAAATGCATTGATTATTTGTCTCTAAAAAGAAAATGAAAGATGAAGTAACAAGGAAGCAGAAGGAAAAGACAAAGTATTGATTAATCCCTGCATGCCTGGAAGCTCTCCGAAAATCAGAATAAGGAAAAAACAAGAGAAAAGAAAGAGTGCTTAGTAGTTAGTAGTTAGTAGGGTTGGTTTAGCCTAAAGTATAATGGCAGAGAAGAAAGGTAGCACATAGATTTTTTAAAGAAAAGAAGAAGAATGATGAGTTAATGAAATATAATTAAAGCATAAACAAAATTAAATTCGTAAAGGTCACTGTTTTACAAAGTGTAAAGCCAATTTGCTGGTTGCTACTTTCCGCTGTTTTCGGTTAAAGTCAGAAAGAAGAGAAGCTTATAAAAGCACCCTATTGGCTTCACGCTTTCATTGAAACCACCTGCTTTGCTCTTTTTATTAAGCCATAAAATGGATACTCCTTTTCACCAGATTTAAAACCTTTTCTAGTTTTCTTTTCTCACATAACACAAGTGACATTTTTTTTTGGCTTAAAACTCACACACAGGGGAGAGAGAGATAGAGAGATCAGACAGGCTAGCTCCATGTCTGACTCACTCCTAACTTTCTATTCTCTTTCATCCATCCTTGCTCTTCTCCCACTCTTCATCTTCATTCTCATCAAAAGAAAGCAAGCCAAGCCCAGGCTCAACCTTCCCCCTGGTAACATGGGCTGGCCTTTTCTTGGGGAAACCATTGCCTATTTGAGCCCTTATTCTGCCACCACAATAGGGGAATTCATGGAGCAACACATAGCAAGGTAAACAACCACCACCATATCCATTAATCTAAACCCCATATAACACATGTCTACTTCTGCAAACTTCAACTTAAATCTCCACTTCTACAGACTTTACACTCAAATGTTCAGTTCTGCAAACTATGTGCTTCAATTCTACAAACTTCACATTCTTAGGTTTAGTTTTGCAAACTTTACTATGAGATATTTTGCTCTTGGTGTAAAGGGTGTTGGAGATCTCTAGGACAAGTTTGCATGAGATCTTAAGTTGAACAAAATCTAGAGGGGGACTTCGACTAACATGTGGAATGTTTGCAGGTATGGTACAATTTACAAGTCGAAACTGTTTGGGGAGCCAGCAATAGTGTCAGCAGATGCAGGACTGAACAGGTTCATTCTACAGAACGAAGGGAAATTGTTCGAGTGCAGCTATCCCAGAAGCATTGGTGGAATACTAGGGAAATGGTCCATGTTGGTCTTAGTGGGTGACATGCACAGAGACATGCGGGTTATATCACTCAACTTTCTAAGCCACGCCAGGCTCAGAACACACCTCTTGAAAGAGGTGGAGAAGCACACCCTCCTTGTTCTCAACTCTTGGAACCAAAATTCCACTTTCTCAGCCCAAGATGAAGCTAAGAAGGTACCCTTTTATTTCATGTTTTTAATAAACTCTTGTAACTGAAATTCCACACATATGTCACTTTCAATTGGCTTGTGTGAATCGCAGTTCACCTTCAATTTGATGGCTAGGCATATCATGAGCATGGATCCTGGGGATATTGAGACAGAGCAACTGAAGAAAGAGTACGTCACTTTCATGAAAGGGGTGGTATCCGCGCCATTGAATTTTCCTGGAACTGCATATCGAAAGGCATTGAAGGTAACATAATAACGGTAGTAAATTATTAATTTTAATATTTTAAAAAACTAAACTCTTTTATGTTTTTTCCCATGTTTTACAGTCTCGGTCCACCATACTGAAGTTTATAGAGGGGAAAATGGAAGACAGAGTTAAGAGAATTCAAGAGGGGAATGAAAATTTGGAGGAAGATGATCTTCTAAACTGGGTTTTGAAGCATTCAAACCTTTCCACAGAGCAAATTCTTGACTTGATTCTCAGTTTGCTCTTCGCTGGCCATGAAACTTCGTCGGTGGCCATAGCTCTAGCTATTTATTTCTTGCCTGGTTGTCCTCAAGCTATACAACAGTTAAGGGTAAGCAAATACAATACAACCATGATGCTACGTGTAATCTTATTTATTAAGAGCATGTTTTGATATAAATTATAAGTACTTTTAAGAGTTTTTTATTACAAAAAGGTTTTTTTTTTTTTTAATTTAGAAACTCTAAGAAGTTTTTCTGAACTTTTATCTGAACACGTTCTAACATTTTTCTCACCTTTTTGTCATTCGAATTTTTACTGGTGATACTTAGTTTTCTTATTTTGTGAAAAAATAATAGGAAGAACACAGAGAAATTGCCAGAGCCAAGAAGCAAGCAGGGGAAGTTGAACTGACTTGGGAAGACTACAAAAGAATGGAATTTACTCATTGTGTAAGTGACGTGATAAGTAGATGAATTATGGCGGTCTACCTGTCCCTTCAGTATACTAATTATTATTTGACGAATAAGTTAGCAGTTAGTAATATTATATACATGATGATGATGATGCGATGCCCTTTAAAGTGTTGTTCACAACAGAACAGCATTATGGGTCAAATTTGATAACACAAGATCATAAGGAATAAGAAAAGTATAACATTTATGATTATGTGTGTAAGTAATATATTATAAAGTATTGTAAGTGTGAATTATTTGGTCCTTTTGTGAAGGTTGTGAACGAGACGCTAAGGTTGGGAAATGTTGTGAGGTTTCTGCACAGGAAAGCTGTGAAAGATGTTAACTACAAAGGTACATGTAGGATTAGTATGAAAAAATCTTTTGAGGAAAAAGAAGAAGAAAAGCATAGATTAGGTGTTATAGTAAAGGGAAATGGAATTGAAAATGTTGTTTATGTGTTGAAAGGTTATGACATTCCATGTGGGTGGAAAGTCCTTCCGGTGATTGCAGCCGTGCATCTGGATCCTTCACTTTTTGACCAGCCTCAACACTTCAATCCATGGAGATGGCAGGTCAGTTCTACTTATAACTATAGACAGCACGCGTTGTATAATTATTGTGCATCCTTCTTTTTTTTATTTTATTTCTTAATATAAAATATATTAGGAAAAGGGAAAAAGAATAATAAGCAGAGGTCCCCAAGCACTTGAATTGGTCCTTGTGGTGGTGGATCCCCACATGCACTGGCTTCCTTTCCTTCAAGGTGTGGTGTCAACAAAATTTAGTTCAATTTCGGGGTTCGGATTTTGCCCAAAATGTCACTCCATAATAGTTCCTAGTCCTAGCTCACTTAGCTTCGTCACTTATATCTTCCTTTCCTCAGCACAAACACAAGCAGGTTTTTACGTTCGCTTCTGATTCAGACCCAACATAACGTACACACCTCGTACGGTTCGACATGTTGTCATCCCTTGATCATAGTAGTTGACTCTTCCTCCTAAGCATGTCCCAAACGTAGCCTTATTCATCACCAAAGCGCGCACATGCTTCTAAAGTTCTAACCTATGCTAATGCTAGCCCCCCTAACTAAAGTATTCAGCCAAAGGTTAAGATTCAGATGATTGATTAACTAATTAATTAATTAATTAACGTATCCCCTTAACTATAGTCGTTGTTCAAGGAATGATTGGTGTTTACATTTCTTTTCAATTATTAACTTTTTTTTTTTTAAAGAAAAACGTAGGACATGCTAGATATAGATGTAGATATGCTAGTTTTTGGGGTACGCATTAAATGGCACCGTGAAAGTTATTTTTATCTCGATTTCGTGATGGTTAATGGGTAAGAAATGATTGTCCGGAATGGCGAATAATCAAAGGTTGTGGCCTACATGCACAAAGGAGGATCAAGTGGGTCCTTCCCATGCATCTATAACAGTGGAGAATGAGCACCTTCTTGGTTGAGGGTAGTGTGAAGCATCTACAAATAAGTAGAGGGTGTGTTAACTTAAAAAGTTGAACACAATTAATAGATAATTAAATTTCTTAAACTTTATCTTATATCTCTATTATTAGTGAAAAGGAATTAGTGTATTGTTATGGACGTTAGCATTAAGAATAAGAAGAGATGTGGTTAGTTGAGATGATGAAGTGTCATGATCAGAGAAGGGGATGTTGTGAACAGTACGGATGTGGGACCCAGTGGATGCGATGATGATGAGCATGGCTCTTTTGTGAACGTGTGGGCAGGTCCTGAGGTTCCAGATCATTAAAGCCCATGTGGAAGTGGGCCTCACACGTGCACGTGCATATGTGCTTTTCTTTTTCTCAAACCTGGTCCTCTCTTCTCCCACATCTATTTATTTATTAAAAGTTTTAAAAGTAAAATTGGTATAGAACATGTACATAGCCAAGTGGGGATGAGGATAACAATATGATGGTGACAAGTAACATCACCACAAATTAATCATCCATCTAAAATTATTTATCATGATATATTTTGTAGAGAAGCATATTATATATTATATATTGCATTATATGATTGGAAATAGACAGTTGCATTAATGAAATAAATGGTTGTGGTGCAGAACAATGGTAGTCGTGGAAGTTGCCCCAGCAAGAGCACAACGAACAATAACTTTCTTCCGTTCGGGGGAGGACCACGACTATGTGCAGGATCAGAGTTAGCAAAGCTTGAAATGGCAGTTTTCATCCACCATCTCATCCTTAACTACCATTGGGAATTGGCTGATACCGATCAACCTTTTGCATACCCTTTTGTCGATTTCCCCAAAGGCCTACCCATCAGAGTCCAACCCCACTCTTTGCTTCCAAATTACTTCACTTCACTTCACCCTACCCTATAACACCCTTGCATACAAATCAATCAAATTAAAGGGAAGACAAATATTAAGTACAATTGTACAAACACACCCATTATTAGGACCACTTCCCTTCTCCCTCTCTAGATTTTTACCCCACCCTCATTGTACATTTATATATTCCCACCACGATCGCTCAATATTAAATGTTTATTCTTTTTTATTATCCCACTATGTAATCTTCGATATATAATTAATAATCCAATTATCTTTTGTGCATAAAAATTTATCTTTTACGTATATATATATGTTCTGTTGCTTTCCTTCACTGCTTACGCCAACAGATCATTTCGTACGTACGTCCCCAACATCACTGCATGCGTATGCAATATTGTAACCAATGTGCAACCCGTGCAAGACACAATTATGGAATGTTGTTCATGTTTGAATCCAACATTGTTTATCACTGTTTGTACACACGCCTAGCAAATTGGTGTTTCAAAATTATTTATCAAGACTAAATATGTCGTACTTTATTCTTGTTTAGTTTATCCGTTGGAAGGGGAGGTTTTGCAATGTGGGAGTATTAGGATAAGATTCATTTGCTGTTTTGATATTGTTAATCTGATAATAAATAGTTTGTTAGTTAATTTTACTGATAAGATTGATTTGTTAGAATTTGTTTTATTTGATTGTAATTCTGTTACGATCATTCTATATAATGACTGTTTTCATAAATAATAAAGTCAAGCTGCAGATTCACAGCAACTTCTATTATGGTATCAAGAGCTTGACGATCCTAAAATTATTTTTTCGTTATGTCTTCTACAACACATCCACTTCCTACAGTTAATCGCATTTTTGCTATGGTTACTCAAGAGGAATCACATAAAGCTATTGTTCATTCTTCCGAGAACCCTGTAGACGCGTTAGGTTGTGCCGCCACCACTAATATACCCACAAATACATCTAAGCTACACATTACCTGTACTCATTGTAGACGTCTTAATCATGATGTTTCTCGTTGTTATAAACTCCATGGCTACCCCGATCGCCCTCCTGTTGGTCGCGACCGTGGATGTGGTCGCACTTTGACAGGACGCTCTGCTTCCGCTTCTGCTCATGCCACTCAATCTGGTGCATCTTTCGATGATAGTGGCCCCTCCAAACCTTTATCAATTATTGATTTTACTCCTGAAATGCTTCAACGGTTGATGTCAATCGCTGTTTCCTCCAAAACGCCCACTGAAAAATTATGTGGTACAGTATCTTCCAAACACTCTTGGCTTCTTGACAGTGGGGCTTCCCAACATATGACTGGGACTGTCTCTCTTCTCTCTAACATACGCACCATCCCTCCTTGTTCAATAGGCTTACCCAATGGTGATCGTACTCTTGCAATTCAATGCGGGGATGTTAGACTTACATCTTTGTTGCTACTTACCAATGTTCTTTACGTGTCGTCTCTTACGTGCAACCTGATTTCTATCTCTCAAATGCTACACTCCAATGACTGCATGGATGTATTTAATAATTCTAATTGTTTTTTACAGGACCAACAGACGAGGAGGACGATTGGACAGGGTGTTGAGCATGAAGGGGTGTATGTACTTTGCCAATCAATTTCTGTAAATGTGACTCATGGTTCCTCTTCTTTCAATTTGTGGCATCGATGCTTGGGACATCCTTCTCAACATTATTTGGATTTGCTGCCATTTGTTTCTGGTTCAAATAAAATAGTTTCCTGCGATGTGTGTTGTAGAGCCAAACAAACACGCTATTCATTCCCTATCAATAAAACGCATAGTTTGCACTTCTTTGATTTAATCCATTGTGATTTATGGGGACCATATAGAACTGTTTCTGCATCTGGTGCTCATTACTTTCTAACTATTTTTGGATGATTTCAGTCGTCATGTATGGGTCTATCTTTTACGTGACAAGCATGAGGCATGTTCTACGTTAATAAAATTTATTACAATGATGCAAACTCAATTTAATTCCATGGTTAAAAGGGTTCAAACTGATAATGGGACTGAATTTGTTTCTACCCATCTGCGTTCTTTCTTTGAAAACCGTGGCATTATTCAACAATTATCATGTACATATACGCCACAACAGAATGGTAGAGTCGAACGACGTCATCGTCATATTCTTAATGTGGCTCGTGCCTTGCGATTTGATGGACATCTTCCTATTGACTTGTGGGGTGAATGTATTCTCTCAGCTGCTCATTTGATTAACCGAACTCCCACTAAATTGCTCAATGGAAAATGTCCCTATGAAGTACTTCATGATACTCCACCCAGTTATGACCATATTAGGGTCCTTGGTTGTTTGTGTTATGCTACAATTTTGCCTAAACCGTTTGATAAGTTTGTTGCACGCTCACAAAAATGTGTTTTTGTAGGCTACCCATCTAACAAAAAGGGTTGGAAGGTGTTTAATTTAGATACAAAGGAGATTTTTGTCTCTCGTGATGTTAAATTTTTTGAGGATGAATTTCCATTTGCATCACCTACCACGGACATTCCTCCAGCTCCCATACATCCTACTTCCACATCTATGATTTTGTATGAACCACATGATACTCGTACTTCCTCTTCAGATGTTGCACCTTTACCTGATCCAGAGTCTGTTGAAAGGGGGAGTTCTGTTGATACTTCATCTCCATCTTCCATGCCTCTTCGACGTACAAGTAGATCTCATCGACCACCGGCACATCTTAAAGACTATTATTGTCGCAATGCTAATACACCCTCTTCTGCTAACACTCTATCTAGCGTTCCCTCAGGTATTCTTTATCCTATTGAGCACTTTGTTACTAATCATAATTTTTCCTCACAACACCAAAAATTCTTAGCGGCTGTTAGTAACACCATTGAGCCACGTTCGTTTAAAGAAGCCATGAAGGATCCACTTTGGCAACAAGCTATGAAACTTGAAATTCAGGCTCTTGAGGATAACCACACTTGGGTTGTCACTTCTCTCCCTCCAGGAAAGAAAGCAATTCCTTGTAAGTGGATTTTTCGAATCAAGTATCATTCTGACGGCTCTATAGAAAGATACAAAGCTAGATTAGTTATTGCAGGTAATAACCAAATTGAAGGAGAAGATTATAATGAAACCTTTGCTCCTGTTGCAAAAATGGTGAGTGTACGCACTTTTCTTTCTGTAGCTGTTGCAAAAGGATGGGATGTTCATAATGCTTTTCTCCACAGAGATCTTGAAGAAGAAGTGTATATGCGTTTTCCTCCTGGTTTTTCTATTGGTTCTCCTGGCTCTGCATGCAAATTACAACGTTCCCTTTACGGTCTCAAGCAGGCACTGCGAAATTGGTTTGCTAAACTTCGTAAATCCAAAGCTGATTACACGGTTTTCACCTTCACAAGAGATCAGGATTTCGTTGCGGTTCTTATATATGTTGATGATATCCTTTTGGCCAGAAACAACAAATCTGCTTGTGATCAAGTTAAGATTCATCTTAGCTCTTGTTTCAAAATCAAGGATCTTGGCAAACTTAAATATTTTCTCGGTATTGAATTTGCTCGTAGCTCCTCTGGTATATTTCTGAGTCAACGCAAATTTGCTATGGATATCTTGCATGAATGCGGATTACTTGGGTGTAAACCATCTGATTTTCCCATGGATCAGAATCATAAATTGGCCCTTGCAGATGGTCCAGCTTACGATGATCCCACACGTTATCGACGTCTTGTAGGTCGCCTTCTTTATCTTACCATTACTCGACCTGAGTTGAGTTATGTTGTACATACACTTTCTCAATTTCTTCAACATCCGCTCCAAGAACATTATGATGCAGTGTTGCGAGTCCTGCGTTATATCAAGGGTAATCCAAGTCAATGACTACTTATCCGTTCCACTTGTCATCTTCATCTTCGTGCATATTGCGATTCTGATTGGGCAAGTTGTCCTATTACTCGACGATCCATCACTGGCTACTTTATCACACTCGGTCAATCCCCTATTTCATGGAAATCTAAGAAGCAACGCACCATTTCTCGTTCCTCTGCTGAAGCCGAATATCGTTCCATGGCAACTGCCACTTCTAAACTACTATGGATCAAAGCTTTTCTGCAAGATCTTGGTGTCTCTCATTCCATGCCAATGACACTATATTGTGATAGTCAATCTGCTATTCATATTGCTTCTAATCCAGTTTTTCATGAAAGAACAAAACACATTGAACTCGACTTTCATTTTGTTCGAAAACATGTGTTGTCCAAAACTATTTCCACACAACACATTCGGACTGATTCCCAACTTGCAGATATTCTAACTAAAGCTCTCGGTAGAAAGCAGTTTCAATTTTTATTGTCCAAGTTGGGCATTTCCTCCCTCCATGCTCCAACTTGAGGTGAAGTATTAGGATAAGATTCATCTGTTTTGATATTGTTAATCTGATAACAAATAGTTTGTTTGTTAATTTTACTGATAAGATTGATTTGTTAGAATTTGTTTTATTTAATTGTAATTCTGTTACGGTCATTCTATATAATGACTGTTTTCATAAATAATAGAGTCAGGCTTTAGATTCACAGCAACTTCCATTAGGGAGGTAGTTTAATTTGTTGTTGGGTAGCTAGTGGCTATGAATGAATGCTGTAACGGGGTTTCATGAGAATAAGTGTATACAAGATTAAAATTTTGGATATAAGTCGAAACCATTTCTATGGTAGGAGAATCATAAACTAGAACCAAAATACAATGTGAACTTTTTGCATGAGGCGTTAAGATTCAGTAACGAAGGGGACTCTTTGACTTTGGTGTAACGTGATTAATTAAGTAGACAGCAAAAGAGGAATTCATGAAGGTCCCACTCGAGGCTCCTCCATTCATCGGCATTCAGAATGTCGGGCACTCACCCCTTTTTTTTTTTCTTCTTTTTTAATATTTTTTTAATTTATTATTCACATGCATGCTATGCTGGATTCATGAATCCAGTTATGTACTTATCTTTATAATATTCAGTTTCATTTTTATACTAGGAAGAGTTTATTGTGTAACAGAAACTATTATAGTAGTCATGATCGATAATCAACTACCAAAAACTCAAAAGATGCAGGAACAAATTGAACAAACTCGATTTTTTTTTTCTTTCCTTTTCTTGTTCTCTTTATTTATGGCGTATAACATCTTGACAGGCCATAAAATTAGTCTTTTACCTATCGTTAATCAAATGAAGAAAATATTCAGGGCATTCAGTCTATACATCATTTTCATCAAGAAAATGCCACATGCCGATAAATTTGTATAAATGTTTGACACGGAACAACGTG